CTATGATCTATCCTACATAGAGCCATCAATATGGGTTAGGCCTGTTGGGCCGACCTGACCTAGCATGGGATTTAATAGGGTTGAGCTACGATTTTTGGAGCGCATTTGTGAAAAGGGTTGTTTAGCCTGGCCTAAATTAGTATGTTGATTTGTGGGGCTTGAGAAACATCGATAGGGCCGACTCGTGGGTCAATAAAATTTAATTAAAAAATATAATATAATATTAAAATTTAAAATTAAAGAGAGTACAAACTCAAAACAATTAGGTTAATATTTATATTTAGATATTTATACTTTTACTTGAAAAAAAACTTAACAAATATTACAAAGATAATTTTATTTGCGGATTTGATTAAAAAGTAGTAACATTAACATCATGTAATATTGTTTTGTCGACATTTATAATAATATTTTTAAATTTAATTTATAATTTAATTTAATAATTCTAAATATAATATAATTTTTAAATAAAGTGGGTTGAGTCGACCATTTTCTGATCCACAGCAAAAATGAGTTAGCCCGATCTGACCCGTAAAATACCGAAGCATGTATGAGTTAGTCTGAACAGGTGGACTAACCCATATTAACAACTCTAATTCTACAAATTTAGTTAATATGAAAAAGAGAATATAAATTATATTTCAACCAAACGTTAGGTAAACTATATATATTCCAAACATAATACTATGATCTATTCTACATTTAGCCATTTCTAAGAAATACAACTAAAAAAAATTAGAATGAAGTATTTTTTTTTTTTGCAAAAAATTGAGAAAAAACTATCTAATTAAATAAGCAATTCTACCATTTGTTTGAAATAATATATGTTGTCTTATTATTAAATAATTTTATATTAGATTTTAAGTCAGATACATCTAGGTATATGTATTTTTGCTATTACATACACTAAAATAGAAAGAGAAAGTCGAGCGAGATAAGAGTGAGGCGAGCGAACCTCCTATATAGATGTGAGTCACATTAGATACATGTATTAGACCAAATACATGGAGAGAGGTGAGCGTGATCGAGTAAGATACATGTGAATCCACTTCATCACAATGTATCTCAAAGAAATTACACCTATTTTGACCCTATGTATCTGAGATACATGTATAATATTGTAAACTAGCGTTAACCTAAGTAATTAACTCCTAAATTAGTGAGATTTTTTTAAGTTACCCAAAAAAAATTTAAAAAAATAGTTGTGATATACTAAAAAATATCTTGATTATATTTAAAATAAATAATGATAATTAATAAATGAATTCAAAGACAAATTATTTTTTAACAAAATAGATTCTTGGCATTATCATAATAAGACAATTCCCTAATAATTTGTAGAAATGATAAATAACTTTTGATTTTTAAAAAATAAGATGGTTATCAAACTGTGCTCATATTTATTGGAAGTTTACATGACATCTTTAATTAGGATCCCTTTAGATAATAAATTTACATAAGTAGGAAAATGAAACAAACCAAATGAATTCGAAGTTGATACAAATGATTCATACGGTTAACGTCTCATTTTATACGACATAATTAAAATTTCAAAAGTTAATCATAATTTTTTAATCAAAATTTCTTTATATATCTTTTAAATATTTTATTTAATTATTCTAATTTATCACACTTTTAACATAATTTTGTAATAATTGGTAGAGAAAGGGTAATAATTCTCCAATTTGTGGATATTAATAGTTTTCATGTAATTCAATTGTGTCAATTTCCTAAATGGTCATCAAGTTAAGAGAATTGTCCTAAAATATCATTTATGTTTCATTTAGGAACAAAATATCACCCAATTATCACTATTTTCCTCCAAATATACTTGACGATTCAAAAGCATCACTCTCTCCTAGTTGACATGACATGTCATCAAAGTTTTTTTAATAATAGACTAATTTAATTCATTAAACTCATTTAGCAAAAATAATGATCATATTGTTATTAATTTTTTAAATTAATTTATTAACAATAAATTCATACTTAAAATCTTTTATCATAATTAAACTTTTATTTTTTTATGTTATGCATAATGCGTATTTATAACGTACTATAATCTCATCAATTTTAGATACTGATAAACACATACATTCAAAAAATATTGATATACAAATCACTCATAAACGGTATTTTATTTCAATTAATCATAAATTGTATAACAAATCAATAATATTAAAGATTGATTAATTATTAATAAATAATTATTTGGATGCTTTGAAATCCATATATACTTATAGTATCTTTTTTTAAAAGAAAATAGTAAGTGAATAACATTTATAGAAAATAAATTTTGATCTTTATTTATCAGTATATTAATCTCATATAATAACTATACTATCGAATTAAATTAGTGAATTCAATTAACTATTAGTTTATTTATTGATGTTTAATTGTATGAAATGTTATAATATAATATAATATAGAATAAAAGAATAAAAATAAAAATAAAATTAAAAAATTTAAATAATAGTTTTCTTTTTCTTACCAATTTTTTTGCCAACCTTAAAAATTTATCTAAATACTTTTATTAAAAAAAGTGTTTAAAATTTTCAAATAATTTATTTAGAAATTTTAAAATTATCAGGTAATAATTGCACACTGAGATTTTTTTTCATTGAATTTTATTTGGTGACAATATATAAAGTTACTAGACTTTTTAAATTACTTTTCTTATAATCTTCATAAATTCTCATGTAATTTATATATTTATTTTGTATATAAATTCTCATATAATTGATATATTTATTTTATAGAGACATAAGTTTGAGAATTAAATAGGTCTTTATTTTTTAAAATGATTATTTAATGACAGAGCATATCAACTAGAATTTTAGAAAACTTTTGAGGTATTTAGTATTCTAATGGATAAAAAATATAATATTATTCATTTTCTTCTTCTTCTTCTTCTTCTTTTTACAAATAATAATAATAGCGGAAGCATGAATTGCAAAATATACAATTAATATTATTGTAATAGCTAATTGACCTTTGATATTATTGATTTATTATACAACTTATGATTAATTGATTTAAATTAGCGTTAATGAGTGATTTATATATAAATATTTTTTTGAATATATGTGTTTATAAGTATTGAAAATTAATAAAATTATAGTACATTTCAAAAATGTATTCTTCATAACATAAAAAACAAAAAGTTTAATTTGGATAAAAGATTTTAAGTATGAAAATTTATTCTAATAGATTAAAAATAAAGTAAAAATAATATGATCATTATTTTAGTTAAATAGGTTCAATGAATTAAATTAGTCTATTATTTTAAAAAAAGGTCAAATACATAAACAGACCCCTAAATTTGTTAGGTTTTTTTCCCTCAGGTACCTCAACTACGTCATTTTCCTATTGAATCATTAAACCCTCATAATTTGTTCCGTTTAAACAAACACTGTTGTCTGATGTGGAACTAGATTCGTGAGGGGTATTAATAGAGGATACATATGTTGTTCCACAACTCATTAATCCAATTGATAGTGAAAATGTTTGAGAATAATTGTGTTTTACTTAAGTCATTTGAACACATTAAAAAAACAAATGAGACTAACACGGTTTGTCTTCATTGATTTAATCAAATTTATTACAATTCGAACACAATTGAAGACATTTACAATAGAAAAGCCGATCAAAATCAACCAACAGTGTTTTAAAGGAACAAATTATGTTTGGTTCAATGATCAATAGAAAAATAATGTTGTTGAGGTAGCTAAGGAAAAAAACCCAACAATTTTAGGAATTTGTTTATATATTTGGCCCAAAAAAAACTTAAATGGCATGTCATGCCAACTAGGAGAGAGTGGTGATTTTAAAGTGCCAACTATATTTGGAGGAAAATAGTGATAATTGAGTGATATTTTGTTCCTAAATGAAAAATAAATGATATTTCAAGACAATTCTCTTAACTTGGGTGACCATTTAAGGAATTGACTCAATTCGATTCATCAATGTTAATATTCCTTAATTATCTTGGTAAGCTGTTTAAACAAGACTACAAACTTACTAACCTTATATATCAAATCAATTTACGTAGATACATTTATATGGTTACATATTTATTAGATAACCACATATATATATATATATATATATATCAATTAAATCTTATGCATAATTAGTAATACATTTAACTTTTTACTACATTGATACCTTAATTACAAGTGAGAATTATAGTTGGTACTATATAAAAAAAAACAATTTTAGAGAATATACTATGTGTGTATTAGACAACTAATCTAATGCATATTTGGTACTACAATCAATCTTTTACTAGATATAAAAATACCTTAATTACAAGTGAGAAATTTAATTAGCAATTTAGTACTAATGAATGGGCTAGAATATTTATTTCATCAGCTAAAAAAAGTAATTAAAAATGGGTCAAATGAGTTTTATATAATGAGTTAAAGGGGTATTGTGTCTAAAAATAATATCTTATAGGTTTGACATGTAAACTTTTGTTAAAAAATGTTACTAGTTTTTATTTTGTTGGAAATATGAGCATAATTTGATGGCTATATTGACAAAAAATTAAAATTAAAATAGTTGAATGACTATTTAAGAAATTTAGTTTTGACTTTTATTAAATAGTTAAATGTGAACATAATTGAAAAATATTTGTTTCATATAGTGAGTATTCTTATTTTATTCTTTACTTTGAATTTTTAAAAAATAAACCCCCCACCCCAACCCCTCCCCTCTTTTCCCATTATACTTATCATATTCATTTTTTAACGGTTAAACTATATAAATTTTAATTAATATTTTTAAAAATAAATTAACTTTGACCAATATTCTAAGATGTGACTAGTCAATAGTATAATAGAGAATCTTAATTCTTAGAAAGTAAATCTAAGTGAAATCAAAGAAAATAGATTATAATTTAATGTCAAAAGACCAATCTCCCCTATATAAGCCACTATTTTCTTTATACTTTTCTCACCATTGCAATTACAATACAATTAATTTAGCGAGTAGCAAAAATGGCCACTTCTTTACACTTACTCCCCTCTATTCTCTTTGCTCTTTTGTTTTTCTCAACTCCAACTCTCTCTAGGAATATTATTTTTTTGGATGATACACCAATTGCACCTTCTCCTAGTGATGATACATCAACCTCAATTAGCCCATTAGGTTCCGGAGATATTACTATTTCACCGTCTCCTCATGATTCACCGGTAGATGTGCAAGTTAATTCACCATCTATTATTTCACCCTCTTCTCAAGATTCACCGGTAGATGCGCCAGTTAGCCCACCATCTATCAGAGAAATTCCTATTTCACCCTCTCCTCAAGATTCACCTGTAGATGCGCCAGTTAGCCCACCATCTACCGGAGAAATTACTATTTCACCCTCTCCTCAAGATTCACCGATAGATGCCCCAGTTAGCCCACCATCTACTGGAGAAATTACTATTTCACCTTCTCCTCAGGAACATAAACATCATCACCACCATCATCATCACCATGGTCATGAAAGTCACCATCATGGACATGAAGATGTACCAACACCATCTCCTTCTCTTGAAGATCAATCAACACCAACTCCTTCTCCTGAAGTTTCAAGTGATGCTTTTGAATATTTAGATGATAGTCGTTTCTCTTTCTTAATGTTGTAATGATTTATTATATGCTTATGCTAGGGTTATAAAAATAGGTCTAAGATTATATTTGATCAAATGCTAGAAAGAATGATTTGTTATTGATTCCAATTTTCTTGGATCATGGCAACCTATTGCCTATTGGAATATCAAAATCATTTTTGAATTTCTTAAACAAGGCCTTATTATTCCCATATATGGAAAACTAGATATAGTACTTTATATGACAATTTTCATTTTTTGCAATTTTTTCCTTGAATATAGTTTTTTAGAAATTTTATATTGTTGTAGTAATTAATTAAGTCATAGGAGTATCACATTGACCTTTATTAAAAGGAAAAAGTATCTTAGTAGGCATACATTTATATTGTATATATTAATTTATCTCTATCTTTAAATAATTATACATTTTATTGCTATTTGGAGTTTTTTTTAATAAAAAATTCATATATTGAGGAAGATACACATATATACACATATTTTTGATACCAGATATACTAAAAGAGGGAGACAGGCGAACGAGATAGTCATGTATCCCAATTAATACATGTGGGTCACACTAGATACACACTACATACATGTTTTTATATGTACTCTGTTGTGATTCAAATTTATCTGTGATACTAGATATATTGGGAGTGGCGAGCAAGATAGAAGGGAGATGGGGGAGGCGAACAAGATTTGTCTATAAATCCTATATACATGTGAATCTACTTGGATATCGTATATCTGGATAAATTACAACTAATCTTAACCTCGTGCATATTGAGATACATGTATCTAGACACACAAAATCTGATAACATTCATAATATTACAAACTAGAATGTATTTAAGTAATCAATTTCTAAACTGCTGAGATTTCAGTAAAAAAAAAAAAAGTTGGCCCAAGGAGTAATTAAAAGTTGAAGCAAAAAACTTATACTTTGTTCTATGCTTTATTATTATTATTATTATTATTATTATTATTATTATTATTATTATTATTATTATTATAAATTGTGTTTTACTTGACGGAGATAATTTAGATTCATGAGACTATAGTGAATACTTTTGGGGCTAATTGTATCTTTCATTTTAAAATTAAAAAATTAAAAAATAGAGAAAAGCATTATATATGGTTAGTTATTTGTTCTTTGACATTAATTTTAGTTCGTCGTAATAATTGTTCTAATATAATAATCATTTAAAAAAATTATAATGATAGTTAAAAATGAGGTGACAAGGGAGTATTAACGGGATTTTCTTTGTTAGAAAGTCACTTCGAAAACTCAATTAGAAAATTAACAAAAGTCTTATTAATGTTTGATAATTATAGTTTGTTAATTACTATTCAATTGGACACGCCATGATTAGTTTGAGAACAAAGAAATTTTCACATATAGTCATTCGAAAATAGCTTAATTATATTTCATAACTATAGTTTGCTAATTACGATTCATAGCTAACTCCATGTTATAAGGAGAAGGCGAGCAAGATCTTTTTTTTTGGGGGGGGGGGGAGGGCAGAAAGTAAAGAATTCTTAATTGTATGTGTATATCAGTTTGATAATTATACATATATAATTACTATGTATGTATCCGTTATTCTTACAAGTTGAATATCATATGAGAAATTCAGTCTTGAATAATCTAGTAATGTAAACATAATTAAAAATATTTGTTTCAAATAACGTATATTCGAAATATATTCTTTACTTTGACTTTTAAAAAGATACTCCCTTCTTCACATTTTACTTGTCATATGTATTTTGTCAGTCAAATTATCTGAATTTCAATTAATATTTTTTAAAATACATTAACTTTGACTAATATTTTAATATGTAACTAAGGCTACAGTAAAATTGAGAGAATCTTAATTCTTAGAAAGTTAAATCTAAAGGAAATCAAAGAAAATAGATTATAATTTAATGTCAAAGACCATATCTCCCCTATATAAGCCACTATTTTCTTTACACTTTTTCTCACCATTGCAATTACAATACAATTGATCTAGTGAGTAGCAAAAATGGCCACTTCTTTACACTTACTCCCCTCTATTCTCTTTGGTCTTTTGTTTCTCTCAGCTCCAACTCTCTCTAGGAATATTATTTTTTTGGATGATACACCAATTGCACCTTCTCCTAGTGATGATACAACAACCTCAATTAGCCCATTAGGTTCCGGAGATATTATTATTTTACCATCTCCTCAGGATTCACCGATAGATGAACCAGTTATCCCACCATCTACTGGAGAAATTATTATTTCACCCTCTCCTCAAGATTTACCGGTAGATGCACCAGTTAGCCCACCATCTACCGGAGAGGATCAATCAACACCAACTCCTTCTCCTGAAGTTTCAAGTGATGCTTTTCAATATATAGATGATAGTTTCTCTTTCTTAATGTTGTAATGATTTATTATATGCTAGGGTTATAAAAATAGGTCTAAGATTATATTATTATGATTTTATTTGATCAAATGCTAGGAAGAATGATTTGTTATTGATTCCAATTTTCTTGGATAATGGCAACCCATTGCTATTGGAATATTAAAATCATTCTTGAATTTCTTAAACAAGGCCTCATTATTGCCATATAGTATTTTATATGACAATTTTCATTTTTTTTGCATTTTTCCCCCTTGAATATAGTTTTAGAAAATTTCTATTGTTGTAGTAATTAATTAAGTCATAGAACGAGCATCACATTGATCTTCATTAGAAGGGAAACCTATCTTAGTAGGCATATGATATATATTAATTCTATCTATGTTTTTAAATAATTACATATTTTATTACTAATTTAGAGTTTGTTTTTAAATCATATGTTGATGAAAATACACATAGATTCTTATATTTTTTTTATATCAAATACACTAAAAGAGGGAGACAAGCGAGCGAGATAGTCATATATCATATTAATATATGTAAATTATATTAGATATACACTACATACATGTTTTTATATGTATCTGGTGCGACTCAAATGTATCTGTGATACTAGATACATTGAGAGTGGCGAGCAAGATAGAGGGACATGAGTGAGACGAAAAAAGTCTGTCTATGAATTTTATATACATATTAATCTACTTGGATATATTGTATCTTGAATAAATTACACCTAATTTTGGCCTCGTACATATTGAGATACATGTATGTAAATTTATCTGGAGACACCAAAAACTGGTAACATTCGTAATAATGCAAAGCAGATTGTATCTAAGTAATTAGCTTCTAAACTAGTGAGATTTCAGTTTTAAAAAAAAGTTGGCCAAAGAAGTAATTCAAAGTTGAAGCACAAAACTTATATTATTTAGACTCCGTGGTCAAACTCGTACCAAAATTAGTTTTTTTTTTAACTTCCAAACAAAATAAATTTTGTATTATTATTATAATTGTTAGGGAAAAGAGTCTGATATATCCCTAATTTTACTATTTGGAGCTGATATATCCTTCGTTATAAAAAGTGACTTCTATATGTCCTTATCATTATACAAACGACTCACATATACACCTACCGTTACAAAATGAGCTCACATATACTCTCCATTTAACAAAAGTGAAAAAATTAGTTTTAAATTTATATTTGTGACTTTTAATTTTCTAAAAAATTATTTTGGGGTATGTATGATTCTTCTACCAAAGTTCAAGGTATATTCTATTTTTTTCATACATAAATTATTTTCTAACTTCTTTTATTATAATTATTTGAATTTCCTATTCTTATTTCATTTTTTTCTTTTATTCCTTAGTGTAAAGAACATAACTTTTTTTGCTATATTATAATTTAAAATTATTTTTTTTGTCTATATTGTAATTTAATTTTTGAATTTGAAGAAAGTAATTTGATCTCTATAATAAGTTTTACAAGAATATTAGTGAAACATAAATAAATTGACCATCAAATAATAAACCTTAGTTAGTCATTGAAACAAAAAATAAGTCATATATATATATATATATATATATATATATATATA